ATTGACGGTGCGACGGCACACAGAAGGTTACCGACAGCTATTAATCGGGTTAGCATAAATTCGTGACATTCGTAGATAGCACTTCAGCAAGCTCACTGAAAATCGACAGCGCGAGGAACATGGATGCTTGCCGGCCGATGATATTACAGAGTCGACCATAGATAGGGGTCAAGCAGCACACGGCGAGCATGCTTTGAATCGTGCACGGCGTTCAGCATCTGCATGCTCCAGGAGGTGATCAATGCACACTCACTAAGATGTACCCAGCCATGATGCCATGTTGGTCGCATTGAACGAAGACGAGATCGGTCCAAGCAATGTTGCGACTGCTTATCAGCGCCGCTTCCGGTGAAACCATCACTCACCGACCGTCCCGTCAAACGCGTTCAAGAAGCTGCTGACCCACATCGAGAGGCACTGGGCGGTGGGGCAAGTGTGAGCTGATCTCCGATTTGCCAGCGGACGAGCCCACTTACTAGCAGCCAGAACTGGGTCGCGCTCAGTCCCACACGATTGTAGGACAGCTTGTTATGGTCCTCGGCATCTTGAGATTTCGGCGTTGCGGCGTAGCTGGTGGTGGTACTCGCCGTTGACTGGACAAGCGGGGACCGCTCGTTGCTAGGCATGGCGGATGTGGTGCTCAGAATTTGTCGTACAGTCGAAAAGATCACTCAAGATGGCGACTGGGTATATAAGATGGCCTGTGCAGATGATAAGAGAACGTATGGAGATAGGGATGAGATGGTGAGTGTGCATGTGTATGTGTATTTGACCGAGCCATGAGTTGCTTATCTTTCCCCTTCTCACAGGTCAGGGTTCCGTAATTAATCGATTTCCCTTACACCACACCTTAGAATCGGTCTTGTCCGGGTCAAGCATGATTGGTACGCTGCCTGGTTCATAGGTATGCAAATAGCTTTATGATACGGTGACGCCGGAGTGCTGTGTCGCGTGAGTGCTATTGGCCCTCATATACGCTGTGACCACACCGATTCTCGAAGCCTCATTGAGCAGTTGACAGGCCCAATACAGTCGGACGCGGACGAGTTGGCCTTGTGAATGTTGAGCTGAGTGTGACAATGCTGGCTATTTGATCAAGTAGGAGACCTTACCACGTTCTGGTGTGAGGTTCATCCATGCACGCAATCAAGTATACATTAGTCAAGACCAGGTATGCGTAACCACTTCGCCTCGAAAAACACGACGAGGGCCGAAGGATGCAGCAGTATATATATGCTCGCTGTAGGCATACGGACGCTCGCTCGGGGATATCGTCCGCGGTAACATCCGCTCTTCGGTCTCGTTGCTGGAAAATTCAGTTCCGAAGCGATAAAACGACCGTCCACGTAATCGAGCCATAACAAGCAAGATCCCAACAAACAACGCAAAACCGACGACGATGATTATGCATGATCCATAGTTTATGGTCTCCTCGCTAAACTAGGTGTCAAGAAACCCAGGGACCGCGTACTGATATTCTCATGTTCTCGAACTGACTAGACCAGACCGAACGCATCATATTCGTTCTGGCTCGCGTAAGCTATTAAATTCCCTTCGAGACAGCCGACGTAGGCTTCCTCTGACTGGGTGATTGTACTAAACAAACAAGATTTATTGGACAACCTCACTTCGCTAGTGTTGCCACTTGACCGGATATGGGAAATCAATCGGCCTGCTGTCCTTACACTCTCTATCCAGTCATAGTCACAATCACCGTCCAGAATATAGTGTCGCGTATTCTGATCGTCTTAACTCATCCGCAGTGCGCTCTGCCGCGGCCGAATTCATATAGTGTGCAATGCCCTCATGACTCCTCCGAAGAGTCAAGGAATGTCCTCGATATATCGAGCGAAACTGCATCGTCATAGTCCACCCACCATCACTGACGCATCCCGATTTTGGCCGCGGTGTATGCGAGAGTACTCTAACTATGGATCAGATAGGCTGACAAAGCGCAATTGCTCAGAGACAGCTGTATCTCTGCATCCTACGTGGGCTCGAGTCGTATGTCAGGCCGTCGTTGTACGGACGAACGGGTGTCTTGCGTGGAAAGTTCGGGGCACACGTCATGAGGCTCGAGATGTGTATATAATCCTCACTCTCTTTGGACGAAGCTTGAGATTGTCTTTCCCACATCTAACAACCATCACACAACTCGTACTCGAACAACAGCGATAACTCGCCCACCTCACTATCAAGTCAGCCAAATAGAACAACACAACACTCGCCATGGCCAAACGAGCTGCGCCTACTCGTGAGTCTTGATACACACAGGTACAAATGGCAGACATGTTTAGCTGACCCCGTGATTGTCGTAGCCGGTGCCGGTAACCATGAAGCCCGACCTCGCCCATCGTTGAAGAAAATCTTCAGCACTTCCCGACAAGTCTTCTACGCATGCTTCTTCATCTTGTGGTTCTGCATCGACGTCGCCGAGCTCGGTCTTGTATCGCAACAGATTCACAAGCACGGACGAGAGACCGCAAACTGGCCTACCGGTAAATTCCAGCACGCCATGGGCTTGCTCCTCTTCGCTACCCTCTTCGGTCTCCTCTTCTGCCTCTTCCACTGGGCTCTCGGCCTCACCCTCTATTTGCCCCTCTTCCTCGCTTTCGGTGTCTTCTTCGGTACCGGGGCCGGTATTCTCGAAGAGACTCCCTTCGGTCACGGTCTGCAATGCAAGCACAAGAACGACCCCAGCCGATTCCCCGCGAACTGGGTTCCCTTCCTCAACGACTGTTCTCGTGTAACTGCCATTGAAGGTCTTGCTTGGGCTATGTGTGAGTGACTGGACAAGCAGGTAGTCGATTGGTCCCTTCTACGTTTGCTGACTGTGGCCCTTTTCGCTTCAACGCAGTCGCCCTCGCCGTCTTCGGTCTCTTCTTCGCATTTGCCGACAAGTTCTCCTTCACTTCCAGGCGAAACACGGTCTACGAGTCCTATGCCGAAGAAGGCCACGCCAAGCTCGAAGAGAAGCACGAGGAGGCCCATTAAGCGACTCCCCCGGATGGCCCAAGCCACTCCCCTTAACCTTATAGCCTTATAATCACATTATAGCTTCATAATTTTGCCCCGTCGTCCGCGAGTGCACAACAGCTGAAAGCACATGCATACAATATCTACATGTTTCGTGAAAATCGTGATATGTCGTGAAATGACCGAAGATGCCCTGCCTGCCAACGGTAGCTAGCAGCTGCAACCGCCCACCCAACCGGACGGCTGTTCTTCCAGCTTGATCGGTGCCGTGGCAGGAGTAGTTGTGGGAAGTTTCGACCATAATCCGGGTTTGGCGAGAATCTATGTGAACGAGATGTATGAGCTGTGTGCAAGCGGGGGCAGACTGTGAATCCAGCGATTACTCACTTGCTTGACGAGTTCTTCAAAAGCCTCCGGTACACCCATCTTGGTCTTCGCTGAACACTCTGATGATGAAGGGTCAGAGATGGTTCAAGCGAGGTGCTAAGTGGGTTATTTACTCACCGACAAATAACGCCCCAGTACGTTGCGCAAACGCCTGTCCCTCCGCTGTCGTCACTTGTCTGGAGAACTCCTTGTCCACCTTATTTCCAACTACTATCTTCACAACGCCCTCGCCGCAGTACGTGTCAATCTCCTTGAACCACTTCAACAACTCGTCAAATGTCTGGCGCGACGTGACATCGTAGACTGCATTTAACGGTTTATCAGCTACAGCTGAATATGAAGGAGACAAGCGTAGTCGGATGACAAGATACTAACCCAGAACCACCCCTTGCGCTCCTCGGTAATAGCTCGAAGTGAGAGTCCTGAAGCGTTCTTGACCGGCCGTATCCTTTGGTGGTTACAGTGAGAGTCGGTGGCGAGCCTAATGCGTTCCGACACAGTAAACTCGACTTACCCAAATGGAGAGCTTGTACTTCCTACCATCTATCTCTATACTCTTCACCTTGAAGTCTACGCCTATAGTAGCAGAAGTTTCCTCGTCCGATAGAAACTCATCGTCTGTGAACCGCAGAAGAAGAGAGGATTTGCCTGATAATGTGGGGAAGTCGCTCAGTCAGCGTTCCTATCACCAAGATGAATGGCCACTGGTTGAGACGCTCACTCACCGACGCTTGAGTTCCCTATCAAGAGCAGCTTGAGATTGGTACCGTTAGGCAGACTTGAGCTCATGGTGCTTTGGGTATATCACCAGCGATCTACTGCACTCTATTAGAGAAGTCAAACCTATCTGCGTGGTCAAAGATATTCACGATGCGTGACTACTGTTTCAATCGAATTCGACAGACGGGACAACAGCGTCACAGCAGGTGCTGCTTGCGCAATATCAAACTTTACGTAACGGGTGGCAACTCCGCCCCGTGCGGTAATGGCGCACACTCGCACTGAAGCTCGCTCTGTAATGTTGGTCCATCACGTTCACAAAACGCATGAAGCTTGGCTACCCTAGCGGCGACATTGTGTTGACATGCACAGCACTTGTGCTGAATCACGGGTATTGTCAGACGTCTCTGTGATCTCCCTTGCCGGATATCGAATACTAGGTTCTCCGAACCGATTATTTTGTTGTGCCACTGAGGCGTGTCTCGAAAGACCGTGAATCAGGCAAGCAGCATCGTGGTGTCTATGCGGCTGTGCATGCGACTCCCACTTTCCGCTTAGCAAGCGAAGCCTCAGAACGACAGTATCGTTGGCTCCGTTCGATCCGAAATTCTTGATGTCGGTCTCAGTTCCCCGTAAACCGTCAGCATCACCATCAACGTTGACCGCAGCAGTATTGTTCGCTCCATCGGTGATGCGGTTTCTCTCTGCCGAGATACCGGAGCTGGGCCATCCTTTCATACAACGCTGAGACTGTTTGGACTTGGCTCCGTCCGGTGCCGCCTTGCACTCTCGCGGCATCTTTCGCCTCTTTCCGGAGTGACACCTCCGACGATGCCGCACAGTTTCCAACTTCCATGATTGTTGACGAAAATCTCGATGCCCTGGTTCAAACGCTCATGGTCTAGTACAACGGCAACCTCCCGTTAGCTTAACGGTATAGCAGTCCTCTTTATACCGAGCCAACACCTCGAGCGCTTCGATGCAGGAGAGCAGGATCAATAAGTGGTAGGACGGAGCCTGGTTCGACTCCAGGGCGGGAGACATATATATTCTTTCTTCTTTTCCTTCTTTCGCCCTTAAGCTCTATATATATGTTTGCGGCATTTGGCGAGGAACGCGTGCTTGACTCCATCGACACTAATAACCAGCTTTATAGAGGACCTTTGACCTTTCACCTCGCCTCGTTCATTCCATTCCTAACGAGCACCTGAACGCGCTAAAGATGGACTATCAGTACAACTCTCACGATAAATAGTAACTACGCGCTGAAGGCTCAGTCCTCGAATGAGATGCAGTGGCCCCTAGTTGTGGTAAAATCCATTAAAAACAAGTCCCCAGACGCGTGCCAAGAGAGACCATATATATATTTATCTAACAGAGTTTGATAATAACAACACTGGTCAGGTAGCCCAGTGGTTAAGGCGTTGCCTTTACAGAATATTCTCTTCTGTACGGCAAAGGTCGTGGGTTCAATCCCCACCCAGATCATTTCTTTTTGCCTTTTGTTCGTTTCGGACTAGGCTTTTTGCTGTCGTCGAACCTTGATGCTTCTCGCCGCACCCATAGATAGGGGACACAGATGCAACCTCAACGATATTCGTCTAGTAGGTAACCTGGACCTCTTGTAACGATCAAGCGGTGTGTCAAGATGCAAGAGAAGCAGGGATGAAGAAGCATTCAGGCGCGAGACGCCATCAGGGCCCGTTACGATGTGGTACACATTTGACCTCCCTCATCCGAGCAATCGCAAGCTAGATACATATATGCATAGTGCACATTGCAGACGAAGTAGATGCTGTAAAGGAGAGCTCTTCAATCAGTCATCCCCTTCACCCTCTTCAACGAGTTCCCCGCAGACAATGTATTTCCTCTCGAAATGCTCGTGCCAACCTCGCATGTTATCACTGGCGGTCAAGACAAGACATGACGAGGATCAGCGTGAATCCAGACATGCAACGGGAGCAAGGTGTGCTAAGTATGCCACGGAGAGGTGGATAGAAGACGGGATGGGACAGGAGTGATACTCACATCTCAGCGGGCGTGATATCCGAAAGCGTGTCCAACGGTTGGTCGAGAGGAGTGAGCATGTCTAGCCGTGCATCGAGATGAAAAGGTTGAAACGGATCAATCAGCATGGGTCACCGACTCCGTCGCATAGCTTGGAGGGTGTCTCGCTAGGAGGAAGAACGACAACGAGCGTAGGCGGAGACAGAAAGAGACAGAGAATGACAACCAACTCACCCAGCTCGAAAGACTGCTTGGCCATGCCTCTCGACGCATCTCGTCCGGCGAAATTGCCATATACTCCGTCTATGAGGAGAGAAATCATGGTCAGTGATTTACATACACATACAGATATGCCTTCCAGGTCCCATTAATCGTTGAGATAGACCGCACGACGCTCCTCGCAATGCAGCTAGACATATGGCAGAATCCTTGAACAAAGTCAAGCTGGGGGACTCACCAGGCCCATAGAAAGTCTTGCCTGCCGTGACATCAAACACCGTTCTCTCTCCCCACGAGCCATCCGTTCCCGTCCTCAAGATAGCCAACAATATCCTCCCATTTTTTATTCCGTCATACTCTGCCAACGAGCTGGGCGTATACTTCTTCTGAACGATGACGTCTGGATGTTTGGCGGGGAGCCAGTTGTAGACTTCTTCAGAGTAGGTGGAAGCTGCCGGTGCAGGTGAAGTGGGGTGAGGTACGAGTATGCGGAAGAACAGGTAGAGAATCGGCGGGATCAAGAGGAGGTTGACGGGGTTTGACAAGGACATGGTGACGGATGCGAGTTTCTGCAAGGTTGTTCTGGTTCAGCGAGATTTATGCTGCATCCTAAAACAAGGAAAAATGAACGACGGTGCAAGTACGCTTAAGCGCCGGCACGGACTCTGTGTGTACCTGTAGGATGTATTTGTGCAAGCTCGCTCTTCATCCTCTCGGATTCGTACAGCTCTTCAGTGCTTATGCATCGCTTTCTACCTTGTCACCGTCACGTACGCCGCGGCTTGCAGAACAAGGATCAGCCAGTATGCAGTCAACTTATCTGGCTCACCGTTGCAGTTAGCTACGCGTCTCTTCGGCTGCGGCTGGACTGGTGGTGCGCCACGTGGGGATGGTACAGTCAGACTCACTTCTCACTTGTACGCTGGGTGGTGCGGTGACGAATGCGGTTGTACGGTCACGGTTACGGTTTTGGGGGAGAAAGGCGATGTCCGCCAGGCGTGTTGGTGTTGGTGTTGGTGTATACAGCGTTTAGGCATTTCCGCGTCCGTACATGGCACTCGCACTCGTTTTTGTCATCCACATTCTCCACCATTGAAGTTACAACCATTCACTTCTGTTCACACATCGCCTTGGCCTGCCTTCAAAACGAAAACGATACGACTCGATCCATAAGTTATCGACCGATACATCAGTCTCCACCTTTACTCATTCCTTGGTCACCATCCAGCTCGCACAAGCGATTCACCTTCGCCGCTGGACAGCCTCCACCCGATCTTTCTTCCTTCACAGCAAAATCTGATTTTCCGACACGCAATGCTTTACACTCGAGCTTCAGGCGGGATTGGATCCACCTCGGTGGGAACGATCATGCGACGCTCTCCTAACGGTACGGTGCTTGCTCGAGGCGGCACGAGCGGCAGCTTAGTCTCTAGGCGTAAGTGCAGCTACAAGACCGGTCCAGGTTGAATTTTGTCCACATGCTGTGGGGCTTCATGCTAATCTTGCGTCAATGATGTGACTTTAGCAGAGCACCAGCTTTATGCCCATGCTCTCGGCAACCAGCTCACCTCTCGAGCTTTCAGCTCATCCCTCCCTGTACCTTTACAAGCGCTCTCTTTGAACCACCAAACGAGATTGCAAAACCCTGCCCATACTCTCAGCTTGGCCCGATACGCATCCACCCAGCCTCAACCCCCTTCGACATCGACACCGCCTCTTCCGCCCTTCCCTGCGCCATCAAACCCGTCGTCAGCAGCCAACATCCACGATCCCCCTTTGGGCACGCCCCCACCTCTACCGCCCGTGCAACCCAGTTCACTTCCTCCCAAAGTGACTGATCTGGCAGCCGTAGAAGAGGAGAAGGAGGTCGCTAAGAAGGAGGAGAAGAAGAAACCTACTGGTCCGTTGCCTGCTAGAATATGGGCCACGGTCAAGAAAGAGGCAGCTCATTACTGGGCGGGCACCAAGTTACTCGGTCAAGAGATCAAAATCAGCTCAAAGCTTCAATGGAAGGTGCTGAATGGTGGGACCTTGACGAGAAGAGAGAGACGACAGGTGAGCAGGGGTGTGATTTGCTGCACTGTAGTCGACGCGTCGACGCTCGTCCTTCAAAACCATTGACCTGAGTTGCTGATGATAGCTGGGCTCCGATAGCTGAAACGAACCACCACCGACCTGCTGCGACTCCTGCCGTTCTCAGTCTTTGTCATCGTTCCCTTCATGGAGCTTCTCTTGCCCGTCGCGCTCAAGCTGTTCCCCAACATGCTCCCCTCGACCTTTGAAGGTGAATTTGCCGCCAACGAGAAGCAGCGAAAGCTTCTTCGAGTACGTATCGAGATGGCCAAGTTCTTGCAGGAGACCGTGAGGGAGTCTGGATTGAAAGCAGACAGCGTGGTCAAGAGTGACGAATTCAAGGAGTTCTTCAGAAAGGTGAGTTGTTCTTCATGTCTCCTTGAAATTTGTGATTGTACGGACCCGCTCGCTGACCTGGATGTCGTCGCGAATTTAGGTCCGATCAACTGGTGAAACACCCAGTCAAACAGACGTGGTCCGAGTCGCCAAACTCTTCCACGATGACATCTCTCTCGACAATTTGTCGCGACCTCAATTAGTCTCAATGTGCAGGTACATGAACATCAACGCGTTCGGCACGGACAACTTCTTGAAGCATCAGATCAGGAACAAGCTGGAGAAGGTCCGAGTGGATGATATGGTGAGTGACCACACTAAGGCAAGACATGATACCTGTGATCTTCCATTTACACCGGAACGCGTAACACTCGGCTGAGGCTCATTACTCATACAACAGATGATTCATGCCGAGGGTGTCGACTCGCTATCCACCAAGGAGCTTCAATCAGCCTGTCAATCGCGAGGTATCAGGTTCCAAGGAGTCTCGCCAGCTAGATTGAGAGAAGAGCTCGAGCAATGGATCGAGTTGCATTACACCAATGGTATCTCTGGTGTGTTGCTGGTATTGTCTCGAGCGTTCAATTTTGAGCAGAAGGGCGACAACGTCATGGAGAGTCTGGTGACTACTCTCAGCAGCTTGCCGGAGAACCTGGTGAGTATCGAGAAATGTTTCTGCCGTCCGCACAGAATAGTCGCAGCTGATGAACGTGTCTCTCCCAGCTCAACGAAGCCGAGCTCAACGTATCGGACGAGGCTACTTACAAGCAGAAGCTCGAGGTCTTGCAGCAACAGCAGGAGCTCATTGAAGACGAAGCCGACCAGGAGAAGGTACGCGTGCCACGCTCTACGTTGTTCAAGCGGATACTGATCACATATCGTTGCTAATTGCAGGAGGAGCAAGAAGCTCGAAAGGAGGAGAAGGAGAGAAAAGAGGCCGAAGAGGCTGCCAAACGCGAGCAAGAGGAAGCTGCCAAGGCTGCTGCTGCTGCCGCGGCTGCCGAGACATCAGGTGGTCAGCCTGAGCCTGTGAAGGAGGAAGTCAAGGAGCCGCCCAAGCCTGAGGAAGACGCCAGAATGACCAAGGAGCAATTGACCGAGCTCGCCGAGGCGCTGAGTATCCTCACTGCCAAGTCGTCGATCGTCAAGGAGAGGGATGAGCTTAAGGCGTTGTTGGAGGACAATTTGCTGTCTGAAGCGGTGAGTACCGTTGGTCCTGCACCGATATCGTCATCAACAATTTTTTTTTTTTTTAGTTTCGGTGCTAATGTGTTGGAATTATAATTTCTGGTTCGCAGGAATCCAAGGAGCGACAAGAGGAGAACTCGCCTACTGTTGCTGTTTCCAAGCGAGTCAGGAAGATGATCCAGACCATCGACACTCAGCTTGAGAAGTATGACGAGAAGGTCGGATCCAGCTTGAATGTTATCGATACTACACCCGCCGGCCAAATCGCGCTTGCCGATCTCAAGAAGGCATTGGGTGTGATCAAGCACAAGCCCACAGCCGAGATCATTGAGGGTCTGGGTAAGAAGTTGGACGTTGATTCTGACGGCTTTGTGGTGAGTTTGATATGTTCTTCCGCAGGTTTCATGGACACATGAGAACCGTCACTGAGTCTGCCGCTTGGTCGCTTCCCAGGAACTCGACCACGTCTTGGAGCTTACCCAGGACCACGGATTGGGTATCGTCTTGGAAGACGAGGAGGCCAGAACCATCCTCGACAAGGGATCGGACATCAGGCATAGCAAGGATGTCAAAGAGCTGAAGTGAGTTTCCTGGACGATTGACCCAGTTGTTCCCCGTTTTCCAAGCGAAATGGTCATGGCCGAAATTGACTCTTCTTCTTCATC